TTTTGCACCACCCAGGGACTTTGTTAGTTATACATATTCCAAAACACCTAACCAGCATTTTGCAGTAGCTGCTCATAACAGAATATCTATATGTAATTCATGAAGAGGTTTTAATAGAAGTTGAGAGTAAGATACATAATTCCTTAAAGATGAAATCTAGCAAGTAGCCAAATCAAGATGATTTCTTGAAGGACATTTGGAGGGATCTATGCCTCAACTATATTATGTCTACACATCTGTCTTCAAAATTTCTCATCTTAAATTGGTTAAACGTGTTTTGGGAAAGGCTGAGTGAGTGAAATATGTTAGTCACAGTGTAAAATTTACTTGAAAACAGAGTGATTGGAAGGAAGCCAAATGCTCCTCTATATCAATAAGTCAAGGTGCAAGAGAACCATGTAGTTTTATCAACTCAGATATCTTTTTATCATAAATTAAGAATTAAAAGCATTGGATTATATGCTTACAATATAAAAATTCGATGATCTAGTATTTATTTTCAACTCCTGCTAATCCTTTTCAATGTCTGCTACTTATTTATTTGAAAGCAGTAGACCAAAACAATGTGATCTTTAGGGTATTCTCATTATTTAAGGATTACACCCTGCCTACTCTTTCTCTAGCTTTTAAGATTTTTCTTGTTGACCTCAGAATAAAATCTTTTCTTTGTCTTTGCTTATCAAAGCTAATAATATTGGCAAGAGTGAATCTTTTTTTAATTTCCTTCTCTTCCTGGGAGACGTCTCAGAGGGAAAGACAGTTCAGTACCTTCAGAAGCCACTTTGTCTCCCATGATCCTTTCTAAGACCCCTCGTGGGAGCTTCTCAAAAGCCTCATTGGTTGGAGCAAAGAGCGTGAAGTGACCATCTCTTCCAAGGGTCTCCAATATATCCAGCGTGATGGCAGCTGCCTGAAACACAAATGAGCTTTTTAAAGGCTCGCACCTTGCAAATCCAAAAGAAAATGCCAACACACTTAGCCTTAGGCTGACATTTAGGAGTTGATTCCTTCACTATAGAAGTTTATCCTTGTTAGGGCTTTAAAACGTTCCTTTTTGGCACAAACAACTATGTGTCTTCCAGTTTTCCCACAAAATCTGTTTGCAAGAACAGGAGTTCTGCCAACGTTTGTGTGACTATAGCAGTCACCAGCGAGCGGTATGTACAATAACTGCAATGAACGTTTTCTAAATGAACTAAGTGCATATAGTCACATAACTAACCATTCTGTGTCTATCATGTCCACATCAATATTATTTTACATGAGATTATTTTCCTGTGTCAAATGAAAATAGTTTTATTTCAAGAAATATATTTGTTACATTTTTGTCAAATTTATTTAATAGCATTTTTCTTGTTTTTAGATTTCAATGGGGAAAGAGGAGGCATTTTAGTATTGAAAACAATCTGCTGTTACGTCTTGTACTTACCCTAAAAGATGAGAGGTCGTCTTCTGCTTCGATGAAGTCTTGCATGGAGGTGCCGATTTGTGTAAGGACGCGGTCAATGACATGCACAACACCATTTGTTGCAATCTGGTTCCCGTGGATGATTCGAGCACAGTTAACGGTGACAACCTGTAATTAGTTTGAGAAAATCAAAGGGCAAAAATCAGAGCTAACCAATGACCACAGA